CTTCTTTTAATTCGGTGTTGATTTCTATCACTAGTGTATTTGTTGCAGTAAAGTATGTTCAATGCTTTTTGGAGTAATTGCAAGTTTCACATTTGAGTGACGTTAGTTTCGCGTGCCCAATACGAGTACGAGTGGTAGCTACTTGATTTATTTTGTTTAGCGTCGACATTTTAATCATCTCCTGGACACTCAATCTTATTTCGTGAAGTTTTGTTTGGGTGCTGTTAATCCATTTGAAATTCCAGAAACTGATAGAAACTTCTTTAATTATTACTTTAACTTCTTCGAGATTTGTCCTAACATCTTCGTAGATTGGATGTTTAGTAACCCCATGTGCAACTTTGTTTGCTTCTTCATTGCCTCTGATTCCGATGTGACTGGGAATCCATACAACTTTAATTCTTTTGCCTTTGTTGTTAAGATTCATAATATTTTCTTAAATAACATGTACGGATTTGTGACATGATTTTTTAGAAATTCTATCAACCGCACTTTTAGAATCGGTAAAAATTGTAAAATTGTTGACATCATGGTTTTTAGCAAATAATATAGCCTTACTTATCGTACATAAATATTTTGCAGGTTAGAAGAGACAAGCAGTTTGGTAGCCTGAAAATGAAAGTATAATAATCTCTAATAAAAGCACATCTAGATAATTCAGAAGATTTGAATCCAGATCCATCAATATAAATGAAAATTAAGTTGGTACTGTTAATATAGTTTTGGAATATGGTCTTAATCCCCTTGCACTATTTTCACGAGTCAGACTCGTGATGAAAATTTTAGGTCAGACTTGAATATCACAAGTCAGGCTCGTTATTCAATTTCATGTCAAATGGGAATATCACGAGTCTGACTCGTAATCGATTATTTCAGGCCAGACAAGTCGTAAAAGAATATCACGAGTCGTGCTCGTGATCTTAATCTCAGGTCAAGTATGAATGTTTGAATGAGATCTGTATGGGTATTTTATATTTTGTTTCCTAATATAGTCTACGTGCTACTTAGAATACATTCTTGTAGTCCAGATAACATTTGAAAACTAAAGTTTCAACATTCGGGTACCGCCGCTTCGTCTTTTTTCGCAACCATTCAGCTGCATGGGTTAGGCATAGCCTGTTCCGAATTTCAGCATAGTGCAAGGGGTTAAACATTTCACTAGTAGTATCTTTTTCCTGTATTCGTCAAAGATTGTTTCAGTGGGATTATTCTTATATGAACTCCATGGTGGTTTTTTTATAAGATTATCAATTTCTTCTCAATCTATTTTTTGAGGCTCCATTTAGGATCCATGGAATTGGTTTCTGAAATTGTGCTCTTGTTCTAGTTGGGTAATCCAAGGTTAATTTACATGGTAAATGATCACTATCCCAAGTTAAGCCTAGTACTTCCCATTCGAGTAAATGTCTAATATCTGGGATGCAAAAGTTTAGATTAATAGCTAATAGTATGAATTCGATGATTAATTATAATGGGTGTATTTCTTGGTATTAGGTAAAACTAAATCAATAAGTAGTAAGATTCTTTCAACAACTTTTCAATAATAAAATCCAATAATGAAGTGTATTTGAACTCCATATGGGATTGTAGCTATTGAATCCTCTATACATTATGACTGTGGTTTTTAGGTATTTGATTTAGAAAGTGTACCTTATTTTGAATGTTGAATGTTTGCGAATTAAATAAATAAATATTGGCTATATGGATTTTTTATGGGACGTAGGCTTTGATTACTATGACTATAAAGGAAGTGTTGATGGGAACTTCTTCGCTGTAGAATTTGATAACATAGGTGTTTACACCATTACTTGCATGAAGATATTGGTTTTTATTTTTACAAAAATTTATGTAGTTTGTTCATTTACTTTTACGGTCTTTTTAAAAAATTAATATCTTAAATATATAATACAGATGGATTATAGTCATTAATTAATACTTTAATAGACTCAAAGCATGGATTAAATCCATTAACATTCCATTGGATGATGTTCATATAATATCTTCGCACAGTTTCCAATGTAATTTCATATTCTGATTCTGTTTTGCTGGTTTTAATTTTTTGTTGAAGCTTTTTAATAATTCTGGTTAATTGATTTTTAATAACTCTTTGCTTGAGGATTGGTGTAACAGATCGATAAGGTTATTTTTATTATTATTATTATATTCTTTAACCATTTTCGATATCTTTAGAAAGTTGTGTGCTTTTTCTAGGAAACTGCATAATTGATCAAAGTTCAATACGTAACCTTCTGAATTATTCTGCATTGTTTTTTTAATTGGGTTGAGTAATTCATAGACGTTGAGTTTCTAACCTGAAATAGGTGGCTTGTTTCTAGGTTTCTTTTTTGTGTGGGCATAGGAAATGTGTTGCTTGCTCTAGGAAGTTTTTTGTCATTTATAGAGTATATAGTAATATTAGTTACCGGCTAAACAATTGTCTTCGATAAGCTACAGTTTGAGGAAAGCGATCTTTTATTCCCAACTTTAGTAATTAGACGTGTCATAGGAGAGGTAGAGGGTGAGATAATGTCTGTTAATTTAATATTTGTCTTCGTAGGGTTATTACTGTTTGTGTTTGTTGTCTTTGTACCTGAATTTGAATGATCAACTGTATTAGATGTGATATTAGTGTCCGGTTCTGTGTTGGTAAGGAAACAGTGTTTAGTAGTGTGACCTTCTTGTTTGCAGAGATAACACATCAGATATTATCAATGTGAAAAGATATGCTCAATTCCTGAAGATATAAAAATCCAGTACTTTGTGTTGTCAAATTGAATTTGTCAGTGTCATTTGGTTGAATATAAAGCTTTTAAAGCTCGTGATATGTGATAGTTCTAATTTACTTAAAATAGTTTTCAAAAATGAAATGTTAGAGAAGGATTTTAGTACAAGTTTGCGTAAAACGTCCATTATGACGTTGTGAGGAATAATCGGTAAAACATTTAATAATAATATTCTTTTCATTCTAAAAGAATTTTTTAAACACCCTATAAACACTTTTTCTTTCGGTTTAAAGTCAATCATTTTATGTTAAAGAATGTTCCGGAATGTTTTGTATAAATTTCAAGTTTTATAACTTGTTTATATGTATAATAGTTTTCTCTTTAATTATTAATATGTATTTAAAGATTAACGTTAGAATATCATATAATAGAATATAATATATTACTATATTATGCTAATATATTCAGAGTGTCTTAAGGTTTATCAGTCAAATTGCTGAAATATATTTTACAAGTCAAAATGAAAATAAAAAAAAATATTCTTTGAGATTATATTTGAAATGCTTTATTACAAAGTTAGAAACAAATGAAATTGAAATAGGTAATTACAGATCAATGAAGCATACACATTCAAACATTACATCGAAATTGGTGTTGAAAGTTTCTTCGTTGGGTTAAATATGATTGATCAAGGATCTCCATACATGACACTATAAACATTAAATATTTCCCGTATTTTAATAGTTATCTATTATAGTCTATCCATCCTCGAGATGAAAAAATTGTTCCTTTCTACCGCATTTACATATCTATTACAAAACTTAACACGTTATCGGTAATCAATTAGAAATAATTCTTGAACAACCGAATATTGATAAGCAAATTTTCCATCGATTCATCAAAATTCCTCCACATCGTGTTTCGCGATATCTGTAATTGAAATGAAGCACGTCAAATGCTTTCTATAGGAGTAATATCAACAAAGTTTAATCGTAAGATTCTTTACGTTGTTGTTCTAGAACTGGTTGTTGAGCATCATGATATCCAATTCTAGGTCGAAATCAAGCCAAATTGCATTATTGGGAAATGGGTATTAACCCTTTGAGTGCTGAATACTCTTGACCGAAGTGCTTCGTAGGTATGGAATACTCTATCACTAATGTAAGTTCAGTTGATTGATTATACAAGGCACAAATAGCTAACAATAAATTATAATTCGTTATTTTCTTAACTTAATATTTATTTAAATTTAATAAATAATATTATAAATTTATTAACATTATATATTAAATAAATTACATTATAATATTAACAATTAATTAAATTGTAAATATTGTTAATAAATTATTTATTTAATATTAATCTTAAATTTAATAAATAAAAAGCAATGTGTGTTTGTTATTGTTCCTTCGAAAACTTTATTGTTACTCATTTCAATTTCATTTGTTTATAACTTTGTAATAAAGTGTTTATAACCAAACCTCGAATAATAAAATGTATTTCTTATTTCAACTTGTAAATTATGCTTCTGAAGTTTGTCTGCTAAGCCCCAAAACTTGCTATTAATTAATATTACTTAAATGTTTTGGAGTGTCATAGGGCCTTTTTAAAATCTGTTTTGAATTCTGTCATGCAGCGCGATAACGCTTCGTTCATTTATCTGCGAGAAATACCGGATCGTCGCGATATATTGCGCTGTTCATTCATAATCGTATTATATTAGATGGTTCGGAAAGTCGTTTCGTTTTTCTTTTGTAAAAATGAAGATAATTTTTACTTCGAGGTTAAACCTAAACCTTTCAAGTGATCATAAATAGTTGAATTTGATAAATTTAACCTCTTATCGATCTCATGTATTACTATTTGTTGGTTTGCATCAACTAATGCCATTATTGTGTCAGCAAAAAACGAAACGACTTTCCGAACCATCTAATAATTTAAGAGCCATGCATGTAATAATTCTACACATAATTATACAATAAATAGTAAATTAAATAATATAGTATAAAACTATATATATATACTATATACTATATATTAATAAATATAATAAACTATAAAATTGAAACGTAATATAATTTTATTAATAAACAATAAAACATATTTATATTATAGAAAACAAAATAAAATTTTTATTTTTTTAACCATTGCTTTAAAAAAAAAAATTTATATTTTTTTAAACATTGCTTAAAAAAAAATTAAAAAAAAAATTTAAAAAAAAAATAAAATTAAATATTAACAAGATATATTTCTCTGTTTATCCAGTTTTCCACTTACCTTAGCAAAGTCAATTTTTAAAGTGCAGCATCCAGAATATATGTCTGCTCCGTGAAGCGTTTCTTTTGCTCTTGTGGCTGAATCTACAGAGTCGAACGTAATCACGATGAAACTTAGTTAAGGAATTATAGCTGTATACATCTTTCTTTATCTTAAATGTAAATTATTGAATGAAAATAAACCGGTTTTTTTTTTGAAGAAGAAGAAAAAAAAAGGAAAAAAAAAGAAACTTGCGAATATTAAAATGAAGATTGAAATATATAGAAATGCTGTGATAACGTTTTAAAATCATGCAGGTGAAACGAGTTTCCGTTGGACATCGAAATTATTACACAGAAAACGCATTAGAAAGGATATTCCACCATGGCTTGAACGCCGTTCTTCTTGAAGATAACGATGCGTTGAACTTGCCCGCTGGGCGCACTGATGGCATGAAGAACTTCCTGTAATGGAAAAATATTCAAAATAACATGTTAGATTTTTCTATCCAAGGAAAATTAAAAGGAAAAAGTAAAAATGAAAATGTAAAACTTCTTAAATTAACACGATATTAACAAAGAAAGTTCGAAATACGTATATTAAAAAGTATTTACCCTTTGAATATTTATATTTCATTAAATATTAAATAGATTAATTTTTTTAATCATGAAAAATAAAGTAATAATGATAAATTTACGAAATATATATTTTTGTGTATTAAATATTTATTATTTCTTAATGTTTATATTTAATGAAACATTTTTCAATTACCATATGTATTAAATATCGATTACTTTCTTTCTGTTTTTGTTTTCTTTAATTTATACTAATCGAATTTGTGTTATCAATGTTTAAACAGGCACTTTGTATAATAATCTTGGGAATAACAATACATTTATTCGAGGAAAATTGCCGCCTGGGCTCAGTACTATGGGCGCAGAACCTAACATGTTCGGAATTTTAAGGAGGTATAATAAATCACCGAGAGAGACGAAGTAATAAAATAACCGTAAAGCAACGTGAACTGTGGTAACGTGGACCCTAAGCGCAAAATGCACTTAATGCAATCGCATATAAAATATATTATGTTCTACGAATACGCTTTGTTATATCTTGAATCTTCATATTAAAACTTTTCATCGTCCATTCAAACATTTTTTTATAAAGATTATCTATAACTTTACATTTGGTTAGATAAATTTGAAAATTACAAAATACACATATAATTCGAATTTTTTTCGACAAATATCTTAAATTTTAATTGTATCAACTATGAAATTGACACTAGATTTACGGACGTTGTGTACATTATTTTTTAATGACTTACAATCATCGTTTGAATAAAATATTGAGTAGAGGGTAGGAATTAATATTTAAATATAATTCATTACGTAACTAAAAATCAACATATATTTGTACAAAATAATAATTACATTTTATATACAGGGTGATTCACCAGCTTTTGCCATCTAAATAGCTCGCAGCAGAAAAGTAGATAAAGAAAAAGTTGCACAAAAAATTCAGGACTACAATATGAAATTAGAATTTTTTAGCTAGATTAAGTCATTTCCAAGAATGATATGCAACATTGAATACAAAACCTGGCAATGACCAATAGAAACTATTCGGAAAATATCTGTTCCATCTGTTATCGGAACAACTAAAGGATGTCACAGACCTGACACAACTCTGACGCGACCATGACGCGGAAAGAGCTATATTATGGCCAGCTTATTCGCCAGTTTTGACCTTGTTTTGACTTTCAAAAAATTTAATATTACATATCCTTGGATTTGTCTTGTCAGCCGCTATCCGAAAATAAGTATTAAAATAGAACATTGTATTTAAAAAAAACAAAGTTGACCAATACATTTTGAAAATGACTCAACCTAGCAAAAAAATACTAATGTCATATTGTAGTCCTAAATTTTTTATGTAACTTTTTCCTTATTCACTATTTTGCTTCTATCATACTTTCTGTGCTATTTAGGTTGCAAGAGCTGGTGAATCACCCTATAGAATATTTGGTGCTGATAGTTTAGAAAGAAGAAGGAAAAGCAGAATAACAAGGAAAAAGGATATGGAATAAGGAATCAACCAATCGATAATTGGGAAATTCAGATTCAGAAACGGAAAACGGATTATTGGGGAAAGGGGAGTGGAGGGGATGGGGGAATCCTATGCAGATTATGCAGAAGAAATGTCAGGACTTATGATAAGGAAATGCAAAAAATTGGATTAAGTAAAATTAATTAGATGAAAGAAAGGTGTTTTTAGCAAAGATAAAAGGAAGGTAGAAAAATATCATAGAGAAAAATAAAACTGAACTATGTACCAAAGACAAAGAAAATAATTAAGACAAATTTAAAAATAAATTTCAATGTAATGGTAAAATTTTGTGTTAATAGAATGTTGATGATACTAATTTTATTGAAGGATTATTATTTATAGAATGTTTATAGCATGATTTGTTTGTATGATCAAAACTGTAAGCTAACACATGTGATTTTCCTTTTCAAAGCCGAAAGGAAATAAAAAGATGCACACATACAATTAATTATTTTATTTTATTTTTCAATTATCACAAGTAAAATATTTAATATCATTTGATGAGATATTCTATTATTTGAACTATCAATCAAATAGATTAAAAATAAAGATAGATAAGTTAGTATACTTTTTTTTAAATAATTAAACAAACTTTTTATTTATTATTTTAAAAACTTGTGAGTTATAATCGTCATAACTATGATTTTTAATAATTCCATTTAATATTGTTTGAATTATCAATTAATTATAATTGCTATGAACTCTGTTACTTCTCGTTCATACTATAATTTTAATCAATTAATTTACGTATCATGTAATAAATATTAGTGATTTTCAATATTCGTATATTTGATATCATCCTATTTAATATTATTATAGTCATGTATTAAATCTCTTTAAAATTATTTAACTTTGATATCACCAACTTATATAACTGCATTCAATTATTATATCATCAAAATTAAATATGACTTCATTAATTATGTTCATATGTAATTAGTAAATATTAATCACATTTAATAAAAGACAAAAAGCTACTGTACCATATTTTCCACTATGTTGAATTTCTTTTGAAGGATAAACAAAATATTAGATTACAAATTTAAGTTACACAATAGCTAGAATAAAAATTTTACGATTGAATCTTCCTATATCAGACATATCAAATATGTCAAACATAATATAATTGTAAAGGTACATAATTAAAGTTTAATTATTAATTAGACATCAAAAATGTACAATAGAATTTCATTAATAAGCTTTAATAATTATACAATAATCTCACGAGCAAATTTCACTGATTTCATTGTATTCTAATCTTACTACGATTAGTTATTCAAGAAAAACAAATATTTGGTTACAAAATAGTTAGCATACTAGAATTGATTCTTCACATGTCAGACATGTCCGACATGTCACCGAAATAATGTAATTACAAAGATACGTGACTAAAATTCTGTCGTAAATTTGACATCAGAAATGTAAAGCAATTCGAGTAACAGCAAGTTTGCTAAATAAGTTATATTTAGTATAGAACTGTTAAACTACTACAATTTTACTAAAAGAAAAACCTAATTAATTTTACTATTATTTTATTAATAAA